CCTGGACTCAACTGGCCCTACTTTCAATAAAACCAGAGGAGGATCCTTTCCCTGGAGTCCTGTTAGGCTGGGCTGCTGTTGGAACTGTCATCTTCAGACAAAAGGGAAAAGGGTTGGGTTTTAACAAATGTGAAGCCTAATTGGGAGATCTTCGTGGCTGTACCCTTGACATTTATTTAAGCCTCATCAACAAAACGGGAAATAACCATACTAATTAGCAGACCAGCACACAGAGTACTATTTATTGGGGGTATATGTACATTCCCACTGTACTTCAAAGATAAAACAATTAATGAAACACAGACTTAAAACAACAGACATTTTTATTTCTGCTCTTTTATCTAGTACCTGGGTTATAAGACTTAATTTTTTCACCTTAAAATATATTCTTGGGATTTAAATTACCATCTGGTTTTGAAAACCAGGTGAAAATTGTGTCTTTCACTTACACAAGTCTAGTTGGAAACCAGAAATGCAAAATTCTTTACACAGCTTAGATCAACTTCTCAAATGGATAATCAAATGGGGTAAGTTACAAATTTTTACTGAAAATAAAGTTATATACTTCAGGTTATAAATTTATAAACTAAGAGATCTCTTCATATATAAGTTGACGTATTTCCTTTGAATTCATATATTGGGATCTGAATGCATGCTTACTTTTTATGAAAATGGGCAATGTGAGGGTCCTCATTACTTGGTTAAAGGATTTTTAGTTACTGTGGAGAGTAACTAACAACAGAGAAAATAAAACAGATGATGTCACTGCTCTAAAAGACCTAAAGCTTAAGACAAGTGTGTACATGAAGATGGAAAGCTGCCAGTTACAACTGGTGCCTATGTGAGGGACAAACATTTCATATATATTATCCATGATATCTACCACATCTTAGAAAAATGGCATGTATTGTTATGACCACTTTACAAATGTAGACAGCAAGGCTTTAGGGATGTTGTGTTCTGCTCAGTACTAAATGATAGTGCCTTTTCCAAGTCAAGTCTCTGTTACTCACACTAGATCCCTTTGTGTCCAACTGCCCCCCTCTTCTACACGCAGTGCACCCAAAGCAAAGGCACAATAGCAGTCATTTGGTACTTTAGTTTCAGAATAAGTCTGTCTGCTTTTGAATACCTACGCTGTTATTTACAACCTGTAGAACTTTGGGAACACTTCTTAAACCCTTTGCTCCCCATTTCTATATTTGCAAAGTGAGAATAATAGCTGTTACTAGGATTGGTGTTGAATTTTAAATGAATCACATAACTCACATAATCATACACAGTCTACATCACTGCTAACTGCTAATCAATGGACTTTTCTGTTTCCTAAGGCTGATCTGGTGTACTCTAATATTATTTCAACTCTTTAAAAACTGAAATTTGAAAAATAGTACTATAGAGAGCAAAATCATATGGATCACCAAATTCCATGAATCCCTAAGGAATCTTGCATTTTGGTGACTAAATTTATCACATGCAAGTCTTATAAGAGAATCTGGTTATTGAATAATCAAATACGAAGTGGGACCCAGAGTTCTAACTCTTCCCTAGCTCAGTGAGCCTTACAGAAGAAAGAAAAATGTATTCTTGGTTTATTTTTACTTGTAACCCTTTTTAAAAGCAGTTAAACTCTCAAGTGAGAGCTAAAGCAACAGGAAACTATGTTGCCACTAAGAAAGGTATTAATGAGCCTGAACATTTCAAATAATAGAAACTGCAAAGAAGGGAACAAAAACTGTCTCCTAAAACAGATCCTTATTTCTATGAAGTACTTCCATCTCACTGTGAGCTCATAGGATATTAAATTCATCTGGACAAACAGTATCTAGCCCTATTTCCTAGAATATATGTGCACCTCCTGAACCACTAAAAAAAAAAAAACTTTCTGCTTTATAAATCATGTAGCTGTGTTCTTTGCTCTGTATTAGCTGCTAAGCCAGGGAATACCTCTTAAGAGCTTATATCACCTACTTTCTCTCTGCTTTGAGCTTTATTTAAAGAAACTTAAATATTTTATTCTATGTTTATTTTTAAGATGTCAATTTGTTTCTAGAAATAGAATATAAACAAATAAAGATTAGCATCGCTGATATACTGATTCTGCTTATAAACATCTATTTCTAGAAAAACACATAACTGAAAATCTAAGATTCTGAGATCCTAACATTATTACACGTGGGATAATACGAGTAGGAGAAGGTAATGATTTGAAAATCATCATTAAAAATATGTTCAAGATTCTAGCATCATTTTTTAAAAATCTCTTCCATCATATACTAGATCATTTATATTAAATCAGTAGGACTGAATTATCTCCAAAAAAGTAAAGCAAGGTAGCTTCTCCATATCATACTTCAAAGAGAAGCAGTGAAGAATTAGAAGCAGTACAGGGGCGAATCACTCTTGGTTTGCTTCCCAAATGCAAACAGTATATGCTAAGCTTCATTTCACTAGTAGTCTTGTTTAAGTGACTCAACTACATTATGAGGATTAAGGCAACAGCAAGACATTAATGCTAGGTTGACTTTAAACTTACCAGATCTGTGGTACAAAGACCAGTCTATAATTGCTTAAAAATACAGGATTTTTTTTTTTTACATAGATAACTTTTTGTCATATAGCATTACAAGGCAGCTAGAAATAGCTGAATTTTTTTCTAAGATATTTTCATAGTCTAAAACTCCTCTTCTGTGAACTGCTTCCCTGCTTACCCCTTCTACCTTACTAGTGTCCCTGGTAACCAGGTACTCTCACAGTTTCTCTGGCTAGTTGACTGATCCAATGATCAATGCTTGATCCAAGAGGGCTGATTAGATTCTTCTACAAGAAATTGGGTTTGGGAATTGTGGTTCGTTCCTAGTAGCTGCCCCAGTATCTGTGGCATAGAAACTCAAAGAAAGCACAGTGAACGGTTCATGCCTGGTGACAGAGTGAGGGAAAGAAAAGCCATGGGAGGTGGCTGATATTCTCTCCTGACTCTTTTTGTATGTTCTTATTCTACTACATGTCTACATATATTATTGTACATGGATGTCCTGAGAAAGGCCTATATCGCCTTATAATAAATGCTCTAATAGTGCTTTAATTCACTTCTTTGAGTTTACTAATATTATAAAATTAAAGAAACAATTCAAATCAGAGATTAGATGACAATTTCAGTTTGAATGTGCCATGCTCTGTTTTTATAAATAAGCTGCTTACCACAAGATGATTATTACTTCAGAACATTGTAGCAACTAAAAGAAATACAATTCAAATACAATTCGTATTGTAAAAATCATGCCTTCTGATAGTTCTGGTGGGGGGAGTAAGAATTAGAGGTACAAGGTAGCAATGGAAAAATTGCTGTAAGACCAAAAATTTATCACTTAATTTTAAGTTTCTTTAACAGCAATTGTGTCTTTAGGAAATAACAAACAAAAATGAAACCAAAAATAAGTAACATTTTATAATTAGATTATCAGAGAAATACAATGCCATGTTAAAAAAAAGATTTACTATTTAAATGTAAGATGCTTGAATGGCTATGACAGGACAGCCATTTCTCTGTGTTTTCATCTTATAGCATTCTGATAGGTAAAAAAGATTCCATATTGGCCCTCCCTGGTGGCGCAGCGGGTTAAAGCACAGCACTGAGAATCTAAAGCCGCCTCCACATGAGTTCGATTCCCGCCTGCCCCGGAGGTGACCACATGGCGCGGAAGACCTCTCCTGACCCGCCCGCTGCTCCCCTCAGCAGTGTACTTCGTCGATCTGCCTGTTCTGCTCCCCACTCTGTCTCTGGTGAATCCTCTCACCCTCCGCATCTCTGGCCTGTACCCCAGTTCTGTATGAATAAATAAATCTTTAAAAAAAAAAAAGATTCCATATTTTTTCCACATATAAATCTACTCAACATGGTAAATATAAGGTCACAGTAAATATAATATTGGTCTACAGATTAAGCCTAAAACTTGTGCAAAAGCTTTGAAGTTGTAAGTCTTGAGAACAGATAGAGAGGAACTGAACATACTTGTGGTTTGAAGGGAAAAAAACAAAACATAGAAATTGAAGGCAAACAGTATTACTTTACAAGTTAATAAGTACTTTCCAGTTAACAATAGCTGGAAAAGGTTTCTACACCTGTAATTTTTTTCAATGAAGACCTTGAACTTATTTTAGGTCATATAATCAGCATTCACTAATAGGCTGAAATTAAATAATGCTAACACCAAGTAATATAGCAAGCACTTAGATTGTTATATCAAGCATCAGATATGATTTCTCACCCTTTTTTAACTAGTACTTAAGGTAAGTGATTTAACCTTGTACAGACAGCTTCATCTGTAAACTTTGGTAACTGTAACAAATGAAGCTTGCAGCTACTTCTAGTTCCATAAATTTGTAGCTGTAGTTCACTCATTTCTTTTTAAGAAGCTGGTTTCCTAAGATCACTTAAAATAAGATTTGGGTATATATAAATTTTATATATTTTTAATAAAAAGGACCTTCAGGAACATATTTATGCATATATTGTTACAATTCTGAATACTTTCCCCTTTTGGACAATATTTAAGTAACAGAATATAACCAGAAACTGTAAATGTCTATAGCAAATAAAAAGACAGGATATCATACTTGCTATTATAATTGCTATACATGATGCAAATGACCAGATTCCTATGTATATGAGCCTCATTTTATTTTTGTGTTAAAAAGAATCAGTGAGTGATTTCCCACTAAACAAGTCATTAACACACTCTGTGAACCATACATTCTAACTGTGGCTCCCACTAGTGGTACATAAGCTCTGGGAGAGAGATCTATACAGTATGAAGAGCCTGACACCGGGGGTATTTGAATGGTCCCTTACGACCTTCCTGGGTGCCACCTGCTCATTTTCTTGACCAGAAATGGTGGCTTCTTACCACACGGTAAAAAATCAGTGGTACAAAGTTGTTCATAAAGAAGTCAAATTTTATAATATTAGAATTTGTAAACACAAGGATAAACAACCTTACCTGAGAAAGCTTGCGTTTTTCTAGGTTTCTTCCCTTTTCGCTGTGTAATGTATAAACTGGAGTATATTGTACAGAACCAGAACAGGTCCCATAATCTTCCTCATTTTCCTATAAATGAAGAAATATACCGTAATTATTTTAAAATACTCCTTTAATGTGATTAACAAAGTGACATAAATAAACAATTCACATATATGTTTAGAAACAATATTTGGGGAAAAATGCAATTTTATATTATGAATCAATAATTTCCAAAATAATCTTTGGCCATTTTGGATTACTTGAATAAGATTTATATGAATATAATTTATCTCCATCACTACAATGGAAGTTTTAAAAGTAGTATTTTTTTCAAATTTTAATTATAAAATTTTAAAGATATAACGTATAATCAAACATAACATATGCACACATTCATATACATGCAATTTTCAGACTCAAATATACATCTTCAAACACAATCTTTTGTAAATTAAGAACATGTTTCAGTTTAAAGTAACTATTATTAAAAAGATTCTATAAAACCAAAAGATGACATTCTGACTTAATGCTGCACCAGAAATCATCTTTTTAAAAATATTCTCAGCTTGAAGCAAGGATTTCAATTGTGTTATCAAGGCAAATCAACTTTATGAAAACATACATCCTGTTAAAGTGTCTTTGAAGATCTCTATAGTTCTGTGATAAAATATGCAAACAATAGAGAGATTACTCAGTGAATGCATACAGAATGGCAGATAGTTGCTTGAGGGCTTGTTATGAAAAATACATTCTTGAACAAAAGGCTAACCATATTTCAAAAGTCATTAAGAACATAAATCCCATGTGATTTGTAAAGTATAAGCTTCCAACTAATTTGAGAATTAAGATGGAATGAAAAGCGCATGATGTACCTTGTGTTTTAGCTTACTCTTCACTTCCTTTATCCCCTGCTTTGCATGACTTTTTGCCTAGAAAATAATACAAGTCTCAGGCTCAGTGTGTTTCTATTACTGTTGAAAAGACAAGTAAATAAGATCTCATTTAATGACAACTAATAACTATATATATTATTTAGTAAAATAAAAATTTATAATGTAAAACTCTACATTCAAGGACACCAAAGTATTTACTATGCACATAAATTAGCTGGTAATAATCTCTATCTGCATTCAAATAACATTTTGTGATTAACCAGATAAATAACAACCAGTTTTAATTTGAAATTGTGACCAACTGAGAGACAAAAGCAGAAAGCATATCATAGTAGCAGGTTATGTGGGCAAGTTGTAGACTTCAAGAAACGTAGGGAATTTGTTAAGAAGCTTTATCAAAGTGTTTACCCAGGCAGACATGAGTTTTTATTAGCAAAGCTATCTTAATGCAATCTATTTCATATATACATTTTTTTTCAAGATTTATTTATTTGTGCATACAGAACTGGGGTACAGGCCAGAGGCTCAGGGGCGGCGAGAAGCTTCACCAGAGACAGAATGGGGAGCAGAACAGGCAGATTGACGAAGTACACTGCTGAGGGAAGCAGTGGGCGGGGCAGGAGAGGTCTGCCACGCCATGTGGTCTCCGGGGCAGGCGGAAATCGAACTCATGCGGAAGTGGCTTTAGCTTCTCAGTGCTGTGCTTTAACTGGCTGCGCCACCATATATAGATTTTATGGTAGATATTAACTTGTGCACCATAGGAAATCTGGCTCCAGCACATGGGTAGTTCAGGTCTTCCTTTGATTCCTGAGGGGTATAATTTAAATAAGGACAACTGAGGACTTTACAAAAGCCTTAGCCATTGTTTTATTGCAAAGTTCCACTCACAGTAGCCAGAGTGAAAACATGGGGGGAGGGGGGAGAAGAGGAGAGGGGGAAAAAAGGGCAGAGGAGAGGAAAAACAAAATTCCTAATTATTTTGTTTCCCTAGTATCTGATTATGTGCTAGGTACTTAGTAAGCATTATTCCATTTAATTATCAAAATACTGTGAGATCAGTACTATACTTAATTTTCAAATAAAGAGGGTGACTCAAAAAGAGTAAGTCCACATAACTGAGATTCAAATCAGTTTCTTTCTAATCCCTAAATTTAACTTCTTTCCACCTCAAAAAAGAATGAAGTGAGGTTTTTAAAACAGTGAATCTCAATCTCTGGCCCCCACTCCACACCCCCACAAAAAATGCATTATCAGTCTCTCCCTACAGGCAAGGAAACAAAGAAACCAAGGAATGAGGATCACAAATTATCTTATTTCCTGCTCCCAACCTCTGGATCACAAGATTAATAATGAAAATGATTAAATACATTTTGAAGACCTTAATTTGCCTAAAATTAATTTATTGAATAATATCTCAATGAGTAGCTGCCCATTATTTCTGATATCTGTGTGGCTAAAATAAACAAATTTCTGTACATAGACCCCTTTCAAGAAACCAAGATATGTATTATGAATCCTTATTGTAAATTGCTACCAATATGGAAATTATGCTATCATGTGAAAATGAAGACACATATATTTTCTTACTTAATAACTTAAAATACTGAGTAGAAGGATAAGAATTTTTATAACAAATTAGCATATTTGTCTGCTTTTATGGAAGAAATGAATGAAATTAAAGAGGAAAACACAGTAGTTAGCAAAACAATACAACAGAATTTCTCTAAGCCTGAAGAAAATCTTCTAGTGTTCACCAGGAATGAAATAAAGAGAACTTTACTGCAGCACCTTTTGTTTTTAGAATCTTAAGTAAATATAAGAGGCAAAGTTTAACGGGGTTATTTCATTTTAAAATGGCAGCTAAATGCTATTTAATTGTAAAAATTTAAATCTCTTTAAAACTCTATAAAACACTTTAGTAGTGATCTACTAAGACAGACTTTCTTGCATAGTCATAGAAAAATCACACAAAAGGTAGACACTGATTAAGGCAAAATGATGACTTCTTTTCCTTATTTTTAATTTATGACAGGTTTTAAATATTTCAGAATGTTGGTACTATGTTTTTATATACTCTGTGCAAAATATAATGTTTGTGATAGAGATGTACAGCACTGATTAATGATGGTGAGGGATAAGGTCACATCTGTTTAGATGTATGTTGCCACAACACAACCACCATCTAGGCATCCATATTCCTTCACAATAGTCCACTGGAATTCCTTTCCCTTTGATCTGCACCTTCACTCTTTCCTTATGGTGGCCTCAATTCTACAGTCAGACTTCTAGGGTATGATAATGGTTTAGTTTTGTCTGTTTTGTTAATTTACATTCCACATAACCTTTCAGTATCTGCCTTTCTCCTTCTGACTGTTCACTTAGCTCAATTCCATTCATGCTGTTGAAATTACAAGTATTCATCCTTTTTTTCTCTTTTTTTATAGCTCAGTGATATTCCACTGTGCACATATATCAAGCCTTCCTAGTTTACTCAACAGAATTTGTTTTACAACTATTATTTTGAGCCTGTGTTTATCCTTGGAGCTTCGATGGGGCTCTGGAGACAGCAAACATTTGGAGTTTTCTCATATAACCAGCTACTCTATGCCATTTTTTTTTTAAGATTTATTTATTTATGCATACAGAGCTGGGGTACAGGCCAGAGGTGCAGGGGTGGTGAGAGGATTCATCAGAGACTGAGTGGGGAGCAGAACAGGCCGACTGAAAAGTATACTGCTGAGGGGAGCAGCGGGCGGGTAAGGAGAGGTCTGCCACGCCATGTGGTCACCTCTGTGACAGGCGGGGATCAAACTCATGCAGAAGTGGCTTTAGCTTTTTAGTGCTATGCTTTAATCCGCTGCACCACCAGGGAGGGTCCACTCTGTGCCTTTTAATTGATGAAATAAAGGAGATTTGCTATTGTCATTTCATCTTTAGTTTTATGGTTCTACTTGCTAGTTCAGTTTTTTGTGAATTTTTTTCTCTTCAAATTAGATAGGAAAATTCCTTTCTTGTAGAGGAGATCTACTATTTACAAATTCTGTTTGTTTGTCTAGAAAGTCCTTTATTTCTATCTCAAATCTGATGGAGAATTTTTCACAGCATAATATTCTTGGTGTGTGGCTTTTACCTTTTTATGTACTGTGAATGTGGCATTCCATTCTTTCCTTGCCTGTTAAATATCCTCAGAGAATCTGATAGAAGCCTGTTCTCCTTACCCACACCCCCCTCAACCACTGACTTTCTTTGCCTTGTACTCTCAGCAGTTTCACAGCTGTATGTCCTGTTGCAGTCTCACTGCATTTAGATGACTAGGTGTTCCTTTAGCTCACAGACTTGTATATTTAGTTTTTCCCTAGGTTTGGGATATTTTCCTCTAACATTTCTTTTAAGTTCTCTGTTCCCTTCTCTCTCTCTCTCTTTATCTTCATTATCCTTATGTTTCTTTTCCTAGTGGAGCCTGATAGTTCTTAAATGTTTCCTCATAATTTTTTTATTTCCCTTTCCTGTTCCAACTGGCTCCTTTTGTGAATATTTTCTTTGAGGTCACTGATTTGATCTTTAATTTGTTCTAGTCTGCTTCCACAGCTTTCTGAATTTTTATCTCTTCTAACGACCATTTTTTATCTTGCAACTCCCTTATTTTTGGCTTCAATTTTTATCTTTCTGTTCATTAATTGAATTTTTCATGACAACCATATATTTATCTGTATTTTGTTCTAGTGTATCATTCTGATTTCTTTTTCAGCATTTCCTTAAATTTCATTGTCATGAAAATTATGACCTTTTTATCTAATAAGAAAATAAAATCCCCATATCTTTATGTTTGGATTCTGAAGAGTAGTTTTCTTATGTAGTGCTATATGGCTTTGAGGTCTCAAGTTGTATCTTTTTGTTTGCCCATCTTTCTGTCTTAGACCTTAGTGAAGAAAACTATTTCTACCATTTCAGCAGATGGCACTGGGGTTTTTATATGATTTGAATGTTTGGCTTTGCCAGGCTTCTGTATTCTGAGACTGCTTTTGCAGCTGATGCATCAAGTGGTAGGATGGGCTTTGGAGGATTCAGTTGAGTTTATGCAGAAATGATGGATACATATACACCAAAATTATGTTAAGAAGAGAACATAAGTTCTACACTTATTAAAATATATTATTCTATTATTAATTAAATCACTTCAAGTCATATGCTGAGAAAGCATCTATAGAGAAATTCTTATAAAGTAAAAATGGCCTATAATATTTTTATAAATAAGACAACCTACTGAAATTTTATAAATATTTTAATACCAAATCACTAGATCCTTCTTCAGAAAAGTAGCTTAATATTAGTGATGCATATGTAAACAGACAAAACAGAGGCATGTTTACAGCTCTTATGAGTACACAGATATCATATAAATGCTCTTTGGAGAGGTTGATAAAAATTTTCAGGGGAAGTAGGATGTAAACTAAGGTTATAGAATAAATGGGTATTTTACTAGGTGGACAAAGGTCAATAAATTTATGTTTGACGTAACAGGGATGTCTTGTTCAAGGAAATCATGGCAGAAGAGGACAACTTGCATTTGTGAAACAGGGCATTTGTGAAACTCAGCATTTCTAGAGATGAATGGCTCATGGGGACAGAGAAAAATAAAACAGGATACAGTAGGGGACAAGATTTTGAAAGTGTCAGAGATTTTTATTAAATATTTATTGCTGTTATAACAGATTTCTCCACTATTCAAATATAAACTGTTTTTCTTTGGAATGATTTACTATGTCAACTTTGGGTTCTGGGAATATATTGCAATTAATTAATGTGGGAACACTTCTGAGCACATGCAGTCTGGGAAAGTAACCAAATAGGAACGATTTACTTTTAGACAGCAGGGGGAGACTGCATTAGTTCTGTAATGCTGATATAAGCCATAGAAAATCATTTAATAATTTTAATTATGGAGCATTCTAAACATTTTTGAAGAAAGAAAATTATAACTGAAACTCAAGTATATAATGAGAATTAAAAGTATAGAGTTAAATGATATAATCGGTCTTACAAAATAGATCGTGGATTGTTTCAAATTTGTGTGCAGAATTTACTGGCAGTTTAAAATTAATTAAAGAATTATTTTAAAAATATTTACAGGAAATATCCTCTAATTTTAATCACTGAATTTACTTTGGTCAATATTAACTCTATGCTTTTAAAAGATTAAGAAAAATATTTTGGATTACATATACATCACATTGGAGATACAAAAATTTAATGAATAGAGCTTTTGATTATCAAAAGAAAACTTACATATTTATATGCTGTTCTTACAGCAGGAGTAGCTTTGGTCATTGCTGTGTTGAATAGGGCACCTCCTTTCTATAAAGTAAAAACAGAAACACAGTTACAAAACCTTCAGGCCAGAAATTTTTGGCTTAATGACAAAGCATTAATATAGCAAAATACAAGACAAAAGCTTTCAAAAATTATTTCATGTTTAGTTATTTCAAGTTTTTACATGTTGTATTAATTCCAAACAAAATAGAAACATTCCAATCTGATCTTTTGGTTGATATAAAATATAATTTAAAAATTGCTTCATCTTTGCATTTTAGGTACATTGAGGATATGGCCAGAAATAGAGGTGCATTTAAAACTTAATGAGAAAGTGGCCCTCCCTGGTGGCGCAGCGGGTTAAAGCGCAGCACTGAGAAGCTGAAGCCACTTCCGCATGAGTTCGATTGAGTTCGATTCCCGCCTGCCCCGGAGGTGACCATATGGCATGGCAGACCTCTCCTGACCCGCCCACTGCTCCCCTCAGCAGTGTATTTTCGTAGATCTGCCTGTTCTGCTTCCCACTCTGTCTCTGGTGAAGCCTCTCGCCACCCCTGAGCCTCTGGCCTGTACCCACGTTCTGTATGTACAAATAAATAAATCTTTAAAAAAAAAAAAACTTAATGAGAAAGAAATATAATATTTATCGACTGTTTTAATGTTTGCTGTTTAATGTTTGTAAACAGTTTAATTGTTCATTAAATGTTTTAATGTTGGGAAGTAAAGTCTTCATATGTATTTTTATCCTAATAAAGTCCTATTAACAAAGCACATTAACAAAAATGATAAAATTCCTATCAAACCCTACTAATATCCCACCTGATTCCTTATTCTTAAATAAAAGATAGCAAGCAGTGTAAATGTTGCTTTTTCAAAATAAACCATTTATCTCCAAAGGCTTTCCATTTTAAATTATGATATTAATAAAGTATAAGCATAAAATAAAAACTACTTAAAATGTGAGAAAATACACAAACATTTCAAATATTGCAAACATTTCAAATACTTCACACTTTCACTGAACATTTTTCCCATATGCATTAGAGTGAAAGAAGAAACTTTCAAAGGTTATTATTACCTTAACTGTATGTACCCATTGTTGATATGACCTTGGGTTCCCTAAAATATAGAAAATAAGATGTCAGGAATAGTTGATCAAAAATAAATCCATAAGTAAGAACTCATTAAAAAGTAGTATTTCTAGGACTTTAGTAGACAAATCTTATTTATCTTCAATGTGGTAGAGAAGCAATGGTATTGTGACAACCTAATAAATTTCTCTGGTTCTTAGAAACACAGTAATTTGCATTTTTAAGAACAAATACGTTTACTTTATTCATATATAAAACTAGTATATTAGTGTATTTTGTCTTCTTTCATTTTAATATTCTCTTCAGAGAGGAAAATATAACCTCTTTTGAAATCTAAAATATTCCCCCCCAAATCTTTTAAGCTTATTTTTTAAAATCCTATGTCTATTGTTTTATAAAATTATGCCCTTTTTTACACTATTGGGTTAGTCGGAAAACTAAAATGAATTCTATCATTTTTAAAAATATGCAAAATAAATAAAATACCCTATGTTAATGAAAAAATGTTAAAAACATAGGCTTCAGGTGGTATTTGACTTAGCCATTTTTAAAAATTATGTTTTCCTTGTGGAATGATATTTTAAATCAAACTTGGACTATCAGTGTACTTCTTTAAGATATTTTACTAACAAAAATAAGTAGTATATCTTTATCCATACTGTCCATATACTTTTAACTTACCTATTAAAAATGGTTAGGGGAAAAATCATGTATTTCAGACATAGCTATTAGTCACAGTATTTTGAAATGTTTTATTTTCACTTTTTCTCCAAAATCAACAAAATGAAAAATAAACATCTATTTCTACATGATAACTACTTAAACATTTCTATATAACATTAAACATTCTGTCAATCTAGAAAACAATTTTCAAACCTCTGATCCACAAAGAAAATAAGTATGTAAAAATTTCAAGGAAGTAACAGTAAGGTGACTTAGAGTTGGGATGAACAAATAGTTTACATTCCACTCTTCATAGTTCACAAACTTCCTTTTCCTATGTTACACTTTTGAGTTTTTTCTTTTTCTCTAAATTAAGCACAACAGAAGGAAGGGGGGCTTGGAGTCTAACAGATTTGAGATTCAGATCCAATCTATCCTGTTACACTGTTTAAGATTAGGTTCTAAAGCTGGCTGTGACAACATTTGGTGTAGTACTTAGGACACCACGGACACACAATAAATGTTAGCCATTGTCATAAATAACTTGCCAACTAAAGAGTCTAAGGTAATAAACATTATTTGCCCAAGTTCACAAGGACAGAAATTGAGAGAGAACAAGAATGTAGATATTTCAGTTCTTGATTCATTAGACATCAACTCTGATTACTATCTCCTAAGATTGCCAAATAAAATAAAAATTTGTTACATAGATACCTCCTTTATATCTCGTAAAGCAATTATTAAAGAAATTAGAAAGATACCAAACTAACACTTTGAAAAGACAGTTAATAGTGAGAATTAATCTGATCTAATATATGTGGTATAAAGGTCCAGTCTCTAAGTAAACTAAGATAACAGGAAAACAAATGATACAAATTGTAGTGCTTTAAATGTTAAAGGCTCTTATTTTCACAAAATTAATGAGACAAGCAGATTATTTTAATAAAGTTTAACAGAACACCAATTTTCTTCTTAAAAATGAATATGAATATAAAAAGAAATTCTTCAGAGTCTAACCAGATTATGAAAATCATATTAAGGAATTTCTTAGCATCATCTTTGTTAATCAATAAGTGGTTTTCTCACACTCAACTATTAAATGACTGTTTTTTTCTTGGCAAAGACTTTCTTGTCCAATGTATTTGTTTAAAATCTAGTGATAATTGCATACCAAAAAAATGTAAATTGGCCTAGCTTGGTTGAAGCCAGAAAAATACCATTAAACCTGATGTTTACCTAACACCCCTTCTAATTCCTTTGATAACATAGTGGAAAAATAGAATATAAGACTTTATTAGCTTGTATCAGGAAACTAAGGAAGAAATAATTAGTATTAATGGAGAGTAATCCCCTACTTCTATATAAATGGAAATGTTTCTCCCTTTTAAAGTTTAAATAATTGTATGTGCATTTAAGAAGTATTATTTTAAATATAAAAATTACAGAAAAGAATATATGAAATATTCAATATTCTTTAACTGCTTTAAAAAATATTTATACATAAAGAACTGGGGTACAGATTAGAGGTGTGGAGGGCTAAGAGGATTCACCAGAGACAGAGTGGGGAGCAGAACAAGCAGATCTACTGAAATACACTGCTGAGGGGAACAGCAAGCAGGACAGGAGAGGTCTGCCATGTTATGTGGGTCACCTTCCAGGCTGGGAACTGAACTTGTATTGCAATGGCTGTAGACAGCCTCATAGGGCTGTGCTTTAACCAACCCACTGAGCCACCAAGGAGGGTAAACTTACCTGCTTTCTTAGGAATCACTATTAGTGTGTATCAAATTGAATCTTTTTATTATTTTTAAACCTCTATAGATAATCTTCATGTTATATATTTGCTAATATTCTCATTACTTTACTTTTAATTTATGGTTTGATGATTCTAGTTTCTGACTAGAGTCATGATCAAGGACACAGTTTTGGAAAGACAAGCATACATTCAGTCTTTAACCAAAACTCTAGATTCAACATGAATTGAAATATCCTGTCTGACTTTTCTGCACTGCATGAGTTTAATCAGAGCCACAAAATTTATAAAGCCCCATGCATATTACCAATTAAAATAGTATACAAGTTGCAGCTGCAAAGATGCCTTTCTGAAATTTTCTATTTATTTTTGCTCAAAGGAACATAACTTTTTCAACTTCAGTGAATGTTGATTTTTTTCCCACAGAGATCTTTTTGAGTGCTTGATGTGTAAAAAATCTTTAAGAGATATCTAAGAGACAGGATGTTAGATTTTTAACCAATCAAAGCAGGGAAGAACTTGAATACTTTTTTATGTATGGAAATGTCTTCTAATTAAGAAAATGTCTTATCAAAACGTTTTATAGTTACTGAAGCAGCTTTGAAGCTAGGCAGATAAACGTTGAGTTTAGCTCTGGTACTTCTGGTGACCTTGAAAGAATTATTAAGTTGAATGCTCCATAAACATGGAGATTTCCAAAGTACCTTATAGAATGCTGTGAGAATTAAATGAAATATTTTTTTAGAGTACTTACAAGTTTCTGCTATATAATAACATTATTTTCATGTTAATATTAATATTCAATAAGTATGTACAATTGTCATAAACATTACTATGAGAAATGACAAAACTAAAACAATTCTCAATGAAGAACACATGGATATCATGACATAGTTTTCTTTCTCATAGTATGCATAATAAATATTTTAAGCTGATCTCCTGGAACAGCCTTGGAAACATTTATCAATCAATATAGATTTGAAATATACACACACATACACTCCCATGTGTACATATATACACATATACTCCATATGTATACATGTAAATGTATACATATAAATATATATCTTCATAATTCTGTTACTAATTTATTTAATAGTTCACATGATTTCAAATTTTACTAAAAATTATCTTCACGTATTTCTAAGACATTAACCTAAAATATAACACTGGACCAGCCAGGTATAATTTTTTAATCTACTTTCATTGACCAACTGAAATTGATACTTACTGAACTATATTTTTCTTTTTGGATCTGTATAGGTTCCTCCAAATTATGTTAAAGATTTAATTTTTTTTTTTAATTTTTAGAAAGAACAACAAAGTAGTTGACATTAAGTTGCACTTAAAATATAGCATTATGTAAGTCCAATGATGACTGGTGATCAATATTCTCCTATTCTCTTTTAAACAACAAAACCATTAGTGAAAAATTTTAGGACACCCAACCCACTAGGAAAGACATCTAAAGAGATAACTGGACCAACCATTAAAACTACAGAATTTAACAATACAAAAGTGTCAGTTCTACCCCATTACTGTCACACAATGTCATTTTCAATTCCATATAAAATGTAGCTCCACAGGTAATAAAGATAATGAGACAGCAGTTATGTAAATACTGAATAGGTGCCTCAAGCAATTTGTCCATGAGCTGACAATATTTTGCTTGTCTGAGTTAAAAAGTAAAAAGCCTTATTTTAACACAAAAGTTCCATTGAAGCTAAATCTTTCACTCAACTCAAAGCAAAGAACTGAATCATTCACATTCAGCTCACTGCTGAGTCAAGTAAAATAAGTTTTTTTCCGAAGCTAAATACTTTCAATGAAATGACAACTTGTATCAGAGTAAGGTCTAGTTTATAACTGTTTAGTTCATTTATACCTCCTTTAATGACCAAATCATATATTTTTATGGTTCAAAAATTATTTAATAATTTAATTTGGTGAAATTTTAATAGTATTAATACTAATAGTAATCGATTTGTCTTTTCATGTTTTATTTCTCAACTTTAGCATCTATTTATTCAAGTACAGACTAAAGACATTTTTCTAAATTAAATCTATAGATAGAGAAAAAATTATTATACAGAGAAAGAACAAACACACTGAAATTTGGGCTTGTTTAATTTACCCTGTATCTAGAAAAGTGTTGAGTACCTAGTTAACACTCAACAAATACTGGCTGAATACAAGAGGACATTTCAAGGACTCACACAAAATTCTCTGCCAGAGTCAGGATTAAATACTGGAGCAATCATGTGTAAACTTTCAGTTTGTAAGTCATTAACTCATTAGATAATTATAACACTTGGTACTTACATCTTAAGAAGCTAATTTATTAAATAAAAATCAAATATCACCTAGCTGATGTTTTACATATACAAAAATTATGACTCCTTCTGTTGCCTTAAATTAGTTCTTTTCACACTGACAAGTGAAATCTCAGGGATGGTAAGATGAAAATCTTGCTCTAAAGCTGCAGTGGTCAGAAAAGCAAAAGAAGGAAAATACCTGTATATAATAATACACTTATTTAAAAATGTAAAACAGATGTGATATTCAAAACTTTCTTTCTGGATTATATTACAATCTACCATTTCAATCATAATCTTATTTCTTTAATTTCTTCCCAGTAATACTCAATAGTATTTTTCTAGCAAAGAACACTAGTCAGGAGGGAAGACAGGAAGACATAAACTATTTGCTATCTTATGATACTTATTTCTAGTTATATTAAGAGATATGCCAGAGTATAACTACGTCATGAGACCACTGCTCATACCAGACCAACTGGTATTAAGCAAAATGAAATAATACCATAGCTGTAATAAGATTAAGTAATACACGTAAACATTTTATGTTTACGATAAAAAGTATTATTTATCAAGTAAATTACATCATAAACAACTGCAAAAAAGAAAATAATTGTTATTCAGAAAAAGGATAATCATACTGAAACTAGTCTTTACCTCCACAAAAGCCACCTGAAGTTATTTCTTCTTCAAATACATCAGAGAAGCCCCTTCCTGCATTTAGTTTTGCCAATCGACCATCGATAAACTGAAATATGAAAGTGTGAAATGTTAATTTGCATTTAGTTCATACAATTTTTATTTATATCAAACTAATAGACTCTCACAAATATAAATTATACATATACATGCACATAACGAGATACATATACATGATAATAACATCCTCAACTAAGTGAAAGGGGCTACTGCTTAAACATCAACTAGTTAAGTCACAAAAGGAGAAAGGTGCAGTGATAAACATCACAGGCACTGGAGAGGTTGCTCAATACACATGGTCTGCAGTGGGCACTGCTGCCTTACCACATCTTTTGCCCATGGTGCTGGGTCCTTCCTCACCGGCTCTGATTTTCTTAGTATTTCTCTCACAGAGTTACAGTAGACTTCAAGATGAACCTAGACTATGTGCTAAGCACAATCTGACATAGTAAACATCCAAGAAGTGGTAGGCATGGCCATTTTTAAGTGACTTCATCTAGTAAAATAAAACATTTCCAGTGTATAACCATTCCACACTAAAGCATAATGGACCACCACATAATTTTAACCATTTAACAATAAAACACAACTTTTAAAATTCATGGCATATGGCTTGTTTTAAATAATCAGAAATAAGATTATAATTTAAGTATAGTTCAGATAAACACAGAGTGACTTGACTTGCATATGACAGGGGTCTTAAGAGACTGGAGTGGGAAACAGACACTATCAAAAATTATGGAGATATTCTTCAAAATGTAAAAGAGTATTTTCTATCACCTGTCCTGCCCCATCTCTACCCTGGTTCCTATATAATAATGATCAGAATCTTGAAGGTATGAATAATATAGGTGATTATTATGTTGACCACCCTACGTAGAAACCAATAATGTCTTGCATACATATGTACTGTTGGTACTATTTTACTTTTGTTTTTGTTTATCTATGGCATTTGCAGTTAGTATCTCTTAGGATCATGAAAAATCTTATGTATAAGTTTTCTCCATTCAGATTGAAGGTGAAGTGACTTTAAGACTCCTTTCCATAAAAGGCAAAGAATAATATGAGAAATATTTCATGATCATTGAAAGGCAAACTTTAAGATTTGGTGGTTAGCACAGAATGTTCACTTTCATCCTGGAATTAATTCTGCCATATTCTTTTCACCCTGGAAATTTTAAATTTATGTACTATTTTTTACTTCAAAAGCAAATATCATCCTCAGCTGTCTATTTGAATGTTCAGTGGACAAAAATAAGAGAAGCTGTATAAGGCAATGCAATATCCCTCAGGATAATCAGCAGCATTTAGCATAAATATAAAGGCCATGACACAGAAATCTCTCACAGGTTAAATTAAGAAAGAATGACAAGTGAATCAACAGATTTCCATTCAAAAGGTATAATTACCTTTTTTATTACCCTGAACCGATTTTGACCAAAATGGTAGTAAGATGGTCCTAAATTGATATAACCTAAAAAGTTACTAGATGTAGTCATAGCCTTTTTTCTTTATTTTTGAGGGAGGGTGTTATGAGTTGCTTTCATAAAAATTAGAACTCCCAGGGGAGGGACTAGATATTAACTTTTATATCCTCATTCTGCTTGATATATTAGACGTTCCTATAGTATAATAGAAAATGAATATGGAATGTGGAGTATGAAAGAACTACATCGCAACTCTGCTACTTTATGAATTCGGGTAGCTTACCACCTCTGGGACTTTGTTCCACCTTCTTTAAGATAGAAATAATATAAGTATCTTACAGCATTTTGTTAATGTTAATTAAAATATTATGAAGTGCCAATATTGCAGCTACAGGTTAAATGTCAATAAAGTCTACTTTTCTATTGTCAAATTTTCCATCTCTATCAATTTCTTAGCATTTTCATTGAAGGATCACTGTCTTTTTATGTATGCATTTTCAATACCTGTATCAAGCAAAGTGCTTGATATATAATTTGAAAAGAATAAAAAATTGTTGAAGATTGAAGTACACTAAAATGATGCTGAAGGTTACATAAATGGCTTTAAACTTAATTGAAATATATAGAATTATTAATTTCATTCTATCTTAAACAGTAGTGACTTAAAACACTGGGATCTTTGCTACATATACTAAATGGTTAATTTGAAAATAAAGCCATCTAAAATGCTTGAAAATTTGAACATGTACACATTTTCACCATAGCATTATAAATCACACTAAAGGGATCAAATTTGATGGACTAAGTATCATTTTGGAAAAAATAAGGTGAGAGAAAAATGGTAAATTTAAAGTAATACATTACTGACAAGTACAAGAAAGTAACACATCCTTTTAAAGGCCTTATTTGCTTTAAAAGATTAAGACTATAAGACTTTCTAAAAGGTTTCATTTTTGTGTTTACTAGAAATAATCCTTCCATTTTCGTTTCAGTGGAGCTCAAATCTAAAATGAGATAAATCCACAAACTATTTACTGATTAAGCATTTTTGAGCATGAGTAACTACTTTGTTACTAGTGATTTGGGCCAACAAAAATTAATCACTAGGTAAAATGCCACATGTTATCACTGACTTTGCAAACAACCCTGTCAATGACAATTACATACTTAATCAACATACACAATTAATGAACATGCTTATATTGCAAAGGCTGATTTTAAGCACACACATATACATTAAATAATAAACACATACAAATGCAGACAATCATGAATTAACTGAAAATGAATTCCTCAAGGAGAGAAATGCTGCAGGGAACTGTTCTTTACACTCCTTTGTCTATTTTTGATTCAATAACAGCTTCCCCCCGCCCCTTAAGTGAGAGTTGGTGCATGGTTATGCCATTCTAATAATTCTGAAGCGTTTTATAGAAAGTAAAAAAAATAAGGCAATTTTTAGCTACTGTTGCAAGGATATCATTGTGAACTAAAAATTTCTCTGTTGGGAAAGCTATGACTTCCTATGTGCTATATAATCTGTAGACTCAATAATCACCAACTGCAATAATACATATCTTTAGGTAAATGGCAGAGTTTTGGGGAAAAAAACAGGTTGATACTAAAAGTAATAACAACCAACACTGTTAAAATCAATGGGAATATAGCACCAAAAAAATGGGTAGCTGGTGATTTTATGTTTGCTTTAAAATGATGCCTTTTATCAAAAAATCTAGTATTTCACTTTTTAAGCCTAAACCTAAAAATAAAATCTAAAAGTAAGCATGTTAAATAGCCAAAACATAACAAAATTAAAAAAATAATTTTATTGATATAATTTCATAGTACAGATTTCATAATTGTGTTTTAGATTAAATGTAGATTAATTTACATGAACTGGTTTCTCAAGATCAATTATATTATTCCTTCTAAATCAGCCACAATTTTACTAACCCATATCACATGATATTAACGTAGTGTGACAAGTTCTTACAAGACAGATGATTTTAAGCAGCAAAATTGCTTCCTGCTATTCTTTCTGATAATCAATCATATCACTAAAATTTCTCAAAACACTTTAATCTTCAAATAATCATTTTAATAGAAATTGAATCATTTTAAACACATTATCTGTTTTGGTAAATGCTTTTCAATAAGCAATACTTAAATGAAAACTAACATTTATCATTTCAATTTCAAAAGTAAACTAGACATAACATTATGATTTAAAAATACAGTAAAATATAAAGATTATACTTTATGGCAAGTTTCTTTACAGAAATATAAAAATATATTCTGAACAGATAAAACAGAAATTAAACCTGAGCGTATGATTAGTAGACCCATAAGAATGTATCTTTATTTTAAGACATAAATTGTATGCTTTTCACAATTTAATACTTCACAAGTCAGTGCATTTCTGACTTTTAATTTAAAAATCCAAAAACAAGTTATTTGATTAGCCTGTGTTAGTGGTCTGGACATATGTTACATGTCATTGTAATAAATCCATCAAAACTTAGTTCATAATAATTCAATTTCAAGATTCTTATATTATTTTAAAGAGATACTTGGTTTTTTCAAAAAGCTCATCAGGGAGTAAACAATTCTTTATCACAGAGAGGGCTGAAGGAAGATGGAGTGCTGTTCTTGATGCTAACAAAACAACCTTGTTACTGAAGCAAAGCAGTAGAAGCACTGAAGCAACAAAATAAACAAATCTACATATCCAAATTATTTTATCAGCCTGGAAGAAAAATTACCATATCTCAAAAGTTTATTTCATATTAGAAACCCTCCTTGGGCACAAGGAAACTAAAATCTTCAGAGCTACAGAATATTTGTAATTGAAATATTTATAAATTTAAAGAAAAAATATAGTCAAAAATGCTTTAAATATATGCTAATTTTTTAAATTTATTTATTTATTCATATGGAACTGGGGTACAGGCCAGAGATGCGGAGGGTGAGAGGATTCACCAAAGACAGAGAGGGGAGCAGAACAGACAGATCGACGACGAAGTACACTGCTGAGGGGAGCAGCAGGTGTGTCAGGAAAGGTCTGCCTCGCCATGTGGTCACCTCCAGGCCAGGCGGGAATCTAACTCACGCAGAAGTGGCCCAAGCTTCTCAGTGCAGTGCTTTAACCCGCTGCGCCACCAGGGAGGGCCCAAATATATGTTAATTTTTCAAGGATTCCTTCTACATAATGCTTTGGGCTAAAAACATAAGTAGTCAAATTTAAGTATTTCTTCTTACGAATACTAATTAAACCTTGACAGATTAGCAAATATTACATTAGAGTGTTACAATAAACTAAATCAAAGGATATTTGTAGAACCCTGCTAAATACAACACATTTAGTAGTAACTCTATATAAACAAAAGCTACTGTAACAAGTGGGAGTAAGGTAGGTTAGTTTAGAGCTTTAACCAAGAGACTTAAATTTGTGAAGGGTCAGAAACTGTAATTTTTATGCCATTTCAAAGATTGCATAATCATATGGCTATCAATATACTAAATGAGACTACTTCGGTAATGTGAATAGGAAAATACTTTGAAGACTATATGAAGTTATTCAAATCCATTTATTATTAGAAACAATAACTCAAAACAACTTAAGTGG